GAGTGAGGTAGAAATTTCTTTTCTATTCATGAAACGCTCTCCTCTCATAAGATGTTTTTGCGCCTACACTAGCCATGTGCAGAAATCAGTTGTTACTTAGCACTAACGCTCCGTTCACTTCCGCAATTACCTTGGATTTCTTATTCGTCGCCTTTTGGAGCCATGAAATTAAACGGTGTGCAGGGCAACTGCATTAACATTTTGACAGTAAATTGCTAATTGCTTCTTTTGATAACCAGCCAGACCACCACCCAACGGGGCTTGTAAAGCATTGTTACTTAATCCGTTTAAAAACTTTGTCCATTCGACATCATATGGCTAGTTCAAAGCTTTAACCTTGAGCTGACGAATAGTTGTATGCTTATCATTGCTGCGTACGCTCCCACAAACGATGAGTCAGTGAGAGATGGCTTCTATCGTAAACTAAACAGGATCCTACTTAAAAGTACTGTGCGGATACTGCCGTGCTGGCTGGTGGTCTGTATGTTGTAAAAATGTTCACTCCGCACTAATGAGCTTCACCTAGAAGATAAACGTGGTGCAGAGGTAATGCTAAAGTCTAGCGGCCGCTACAAGTGTGGGAAGTTCTGAGCCATTCCTCACAACCACTAACTTCCGACTCAGCATTCGCCAGTTTCAACCTAGGCGTGGAAGTAAATCGATCAGGGTAACATCACCTGCCGTTGCAGACGCTGCGCCCACAACCTGCACTCAAACCTGAGCATAAGTGTGGACTCTGATAATGCACTGGTATATGTCGACTCGCTGATGAGTTTCGGCGAACGACCGCGATGATGCTGTGAGCACATAGAAACCAGCCAACTTGCGCATCCAGCCGATCTGAAGGTGTATCAAATAACACTAACATTCGTGCTGAGTAAGCGTCCGCAGAACACCGTTGGAAGACACTGGTCACCTATTCACCAGATCTTATGAGAAGCAGGAATGTATTCGTATGGTAAATCTTACTGCCAACCTTGATATTGGGTCTCTCCACAGTTTCTCGAACTTCAGTAGATGCTCCCCGACATATGCCGGCTGGATACAAACACAAAATGACTCGCAAAACTCTGAGGACAACATTTCGTGCTAGCTTGAAGAACGAACTTCTTACTATTTGCAGATGATGTCAAAATTTGGCATGACATCAGGACATCGGTTGATTACATGGCATTGCAGAGCGATCTCGACAAGGCTTATGCGTGGTCATCCGACAACCGGCTCCAGTTCAACGTGACCAAGTGCGAAGTCGTAAGCACACGCCATCAGCTTACCGATGAATATCGACTTGGGGACCAGCAGTTACAAGGTGCTTCCCAAGGAAAAGAATTTGGGGTGATCATGCAGGACGACCTTGCTTGCTCGAGACAAGCCGAAAAGGCAACACAAAGATCCAGTCAACGACTTGAACTCTTACTGAGGGCTTTCGGCAATTTTGAGCCATCAAGCTTTCTACAAATGCTGAAGGCCTACGTGAGGCCTGACGTGAAATATGCGATCCAGGCCTGGCATCCCTGGCGCAAGCGCGACGTCGATGCACTTGAAGCTCCACAACGTAGAGCGACCAAACTCGTTAGAGGATTGTTTCATCTCTCCTACTAACGCAGACTGTAGTCCCTGAGATTATACAGTGGTGAATATCGACGTCAGCAAGGAGACCTAATCATGATTTACTCAATACTGACGAACGCAACTCACCCATGTCGTATTCTGTTACAGCTGAGCCAAAGTACCAACCTGAGAGGTCATCAGCTCAAACTGGCTGCGCACCACAGTCGAGTTGATTGTCGACGGAACGTTTTCTGCCTCCGGTTGTCCCGTGCCAAGAATGCCCTTTTGACTCACATTATCCTTGCCCCTACATTAACGCCTTTCAAAAAACGCTGATGAAGCGCTTTCAAACTTGCATTAGTTGATACAGTCCGTTCCACTTGGAGGACGAAATAACGCAAATCTAATCATGTGCTTAACGGCCCTCTCCACAACGTGGCGGTGAGGATACATGCAGAAGTGTCCATGTGATTAGCCTGGATGTAGCTAAACTGGATTAACACGCCACATCTGTCAACTGAAGAAAAAAGGAGTGAGCGTTTGCTTTTTTATTTCTCACGCACTTACTTAACTATAACAGCTCTCTATACTATTTTACGTGTGCACATTACATTCCCACTGCAAACTATCATTATGCAATAGTGCCTTTAACTCTGTGGATGGTTGCAATGATGATTTAGTTACTCGCTGATCCTGCAAATTTTAATGTTGACTCCAACCGTCCTACGGGACTTGTCAAACACAAGCTTTTTACCCATGAGAAGTCATTGTTCATTGATCGGGAAATCTGGCAGTCTCATATTGCATCATGGATGGAAACAGACATTGCTCATTACAACCAAAGCCACTGGTGGGTCAAGTTTGGACTACATGTTGTGTGATTGGCTTGCGACGCGTAATCTCAATGTAATGGACCGTGATTCACATTGAAGCGAACGTTAGTCACTGCGAGCACTGGAACCGTGCTCAAAGCAGTGGGAAACTGGATGTTGCCCGCCCGGTGGCTGTGTAGTGTTTTCGGGCGGGCAACACGCAATTTCCATAGTGAGCAATATTCCTTTATACTAGAAACGGACGGCGGAAGATCCGGTTTATCGTAACTAGATTCGATGCGAGTAAGCAGCCTAATCGCAACTTCCAAAAAGCCTGCGATGTCATGTTTAACTCTTTAGCAAGTAACATAATAAACCGCGGGTATTAACCATTAGTTTGAGCCCCCTGGACCGTCTATTTGGAATCAGATGCTCAAAAATGGGATCAGACTTTTCAAGCCACATAAGGCAACAGGGTCAGATGAGCCTCTCCCACACCCTTAAAATTCGTGGGAAATTTGTATGGATCAATGAAACTGTGGGATCAAGAACCTGCTCCAACGTTCGCAATTTAGCTCACATCTGGTGGGAACTCCAAATAAGTAATGAGCGTGTTCGACGCGTTGTTTGCTACACAGGAAAAGGAAATGAACCACTCAACACTGTTATTTTACGCACCAGGCCCCGATGGCTCGGCCACGTGTTACGCATGCCAGCCCACAGACTCCCGCGACATGCGTTGTTTGCGCGCCGGGGTGTGGATGGAAGAAGAGGAGAGGTGTCCAAACGATGACTTAGTCGAGAGGAAGACCCTCACTTTGAAGTTGTCCTCATTTGCAGCGCCTCGGCTCTCTGGTTGGAGTCCGAAAGACGACGAACACGTTCGGCTGGATACACTTGCTAATATGGCTAGCAGCTCACCTCAATGGAATTCGTGCTGTAAGTTTCGTTGTCCCACCCCATAATTCAGCCTCCCCTCCAACCACGATCTCACTATTTAGCCTTATATAATATTACATGGCAAATTTTTTGCTGCTTGGTAGCCAACTGTTAGCTTACCGAAACGATGCCCATCCGTTACCGGTAGCTCAGCTGGTTTGCACCTGTTGCATATTTCCCCAAATTTTTCTTTCCTGTATTGTGGCACCGTAGCTGTGGTGTTTCCCACCTCTAGCTAACGTGTACAATGAGGATAATGATGCTCCAACTGTTTGCAAATCCTCTGTATTAGTCCCGAGTTTCATAGGCGGCTCAGGTTCGCTGCGTGGCAACCATAGAAGGATCAGAGAGATCTCAATTATCTCTAATTTGCTTGCCACTGTCATCCTACACAGATTGACTGACAGTCTTAGAAACCAAATTGGGGAAGCTGAACGTAGTCGAACTCTATGCTGAATTAATAACACCTTCCGTTTGTGCCTGAGATTGTAACACTGCCTTCAAAAGTGACCACCCACTCTAGTCGTGCACCTCGACATCAAAGTTGCTTTCGATTCAGTGGATCGAGGCACACTGTGACTGTTTGAAAATGAAATGTGTACCGGAGAGATACGTATTTTTAAGTGAAAACTTGACGTGAGTAGCCCGGGCAGAGTGATAAATAATGACATGTTTTTGTCGTCCTTCAATATATTCAGCCGTGATACAGGGATGTTTGTTGCCACCTTTCTCATTAAACTTCAACGTTGACGGATCAAGGGAAACGGCGGTTACTGAACACGAATTAGAAAGTGTGGAGTTACTCCCTAATTTTTGACAGCTCATAAATATGTAAAGTAGCACTGGACAGCTTAGACCTGACTCTCAGTCGTTTCTGACGGCGCTCGGTTCTCTCCAAATACAAATATTCCCTATGAAATTGGCATGGACCACCATTGTACTTACTCCTGGGGATATCAACCAGAAGTTCTTCAGAAAGTTAACTATGTGAGTACTTGTACCTTTGCATGGGAGTTGGAAAAAATGGCGTGAGCAGCACAGGGTAGGACAAGGGCTAGCAGATGAGCTGGTCAAGGAGAATGTGGGTTTTACTTCCAATTTGGCCCAAGTCAGTGCCAGCAAACTCCCTGGTTGGCGTCCAAGAGACGATGGATACGCTTGGTTGGAGACACTTGTTGCCATGGAGTACAGACGACCACAGGGTAGTTGTGTTGTGACTTTCCTTTTTCCTCCCCCTCCCGCTTATCCTCCTCTCTAACCATGATCATAATATTGCTGCAATGTTATTTGCCTTTTCTTACTTCAGTGCAATTCTATTTATTGCATTTCAGCACATTTGTTGACGTGACTCTCGGCTTTAACTAATGTACGATAGTGAGTGCTCTAGCTAATACTGTCCTTAATGTTCATTTATTCCGGTCTTAGAGGGTATAGACGAGGTACCTATCTAGAGAAATTGCTGGTTGCTGATAAAGGTTGTTGACAAGATGGCATTCAGTCAGCCCATCGAAGAAGACAATCAATATGTTGCTCCCGAAGTGGTTTCCATCAAAGAACCACCTCAAAGCAATCTGCTGCAGCTATTCGGCATCCAGGACACAGTCGTCGAACGGTACAGTTTCCGCCCTATGTTTCAAACTTTGATGAAGCTTCATTATTGTAACAGTGTATGACGACTACTCAGAAGCAACTGTGCTAATGAAAAATGGAAATTTATATCAGGTGGGTTGGAATCAGTGCTTAATGTACTTTCCATACGTCATGTATACTGTTTTACTCTGTTGGTGAGAAATGTGTATGGTGCTTTAGGCAGATGATGCAGCGAGTCAAGTTTCTTGATGAAGGCGTCGGCATGGACTCTATGTATCCATTCAATCCAATGGAATTCCCAAGATTTACGTAATTTCCTCGAAAAAGCTTTTGTCTAGTTACCAGATAACTATTAATATAAAACGGTCTGCAAATTTAGGCAGTAATAATATGCCAAGTATCAAAACCATGCTGAACAAAGAGATCAAGATGCAATTTCATTATGGCGATCCCTGTGACACCGTCGTCCTCCTCACTAAACTCGTCAACATACCAAAGGGCAGAAGAAGAATAGGCACGCTACTTGGTATAGAAACACAGACACAGGATAATTCTCGAGGTGATGCCATTTGGCCGTAAAAGTGGATTTAATAAAATAACGATTCAAAAGTTGAAAAGGGATGAAGGCATCTATTTGCTCTTAAAATTATGATTATCGGGAGGATTTTGAACCATCCAAGTTAGTAACCGCCATGTGAATGAATGGTAAACTGCAAGAAGCGTGAACGGGAGCAGGGAACGGTTAAAAGTAACTGTTTAATTGATTCACGACAAATCATATTGACTGAAACATAAAATTGATTTGGCTCAGTTTGGTGTTGGTGACTGTTGCAGTGTCAATATATGTGTCAAAGTAACCGTCATGCATTTTTAAAAAGCAAATATCTGAGAGTACCCTAAAGCAATAAATTACATCTATAGTAGTGTCCGTTCGAGATATATGTTCGCTACTGAAAAGGATGGTGCTTCCCATTTGATGAAACAGTGAAGGGCTACGGTTTGTGAACTAGTGAGGAAAAAATTAGCACGTTAAAATGGCCCCGGGTTCAACGAGATGTGTTCTTGACCGTCCGTGGGACAATCACAGAGTGCCTGTTCAACATTTCCGTGCACTAGCTTGAGCCTGAACAGGTCATCAATTCAAATATAGAGTAGCGAATTTCGAGTCACAGCCAGATGTTGCGAAGTCTCATTAACTGACCGTTCAAAGGGGCATAAGAATTGCCAACACATTGTGTCTAAACCAGTGTAATTTGTGCTTCACAAATTCTCACTTATGCCACCACATTCTCCTAACAAAATGGCCAGAACTATGCACGAAAAACTGCCATATAACTCAAGTACAGCCAAACTAGTCTACGATGGCCATTGAAGGGACCGGCAAAAGATAGTCGCCATAGACAGGTTTGTGCATGGGGACGTTACCCATAGGCGAAAACGTTGGGGGATGTTTTTGACTGGTCGCCATGGTAGGTTGAACTGTAGTTAATGAAGCTGGGGTTGCAGTTGACTTAAACACAACAGACATCCAAGCTCAAACCCGAATACTCCGACTCGCTGAAATGACAATCTTCCAGAATCATACAGCTAGGTAAAACAACTGCTTTGTGGTAACCTGAATTTCAACATAGGCCATCGGAACATGTGGTATATCATGAAACATGTTAAGATGCAGACAAACCTATGACTCAAATTATTTACTGATAGAAATTCATTACAACTTGACTCAGTCAGACAATAATCACACGCCAGCAAATTCACTGCATGGCCGTTTCATCCTTTCTGGAATCTACAGCAGTGCGCATTCCAGCTGAAACTGATAGAGTTCCAACCGTTAACATGACTGTTGCTAGCTGTAGTTGAGACTGCTGAGCTACGGGGGACGGAAACTATTATCGTGACTGTTATTAGATGGGATGTAGCGCTTGGTGAAGGGGCTACCCTGTCCTCTGCATAACAGTAATGGGCAAGCCAGTGTATATTGATAGGTACTATGTCGCATCTAGTAACATAGTCACGATGGTCATTGCTGTCCCCCAAAGCTCAATGGTCTCAACCTCAGACTGGCAACAGTCTAGTGGCTGGTTTGAGCCGTAAAATGGTTAGATGGAATGCGCACTGCTGATGATTCCCAACAAGATGAAACGGCTGTACAGTGCTTTTCCGGGCGCGTGCTGGCCACATGACTGAGTCCAGTCGAGCTGAAATTCTACCAATACCATGAGACAGCCTTGTACTTTCTTGAACTTAGTTATTAGTGCACTGAGTTCCCTTTATCAATCTGAACACGAGAATGAGAGGATGAGCATTGAAAGGTGACGCCATTTCCTGTTATCTGATCAAACTAACAACATATGGTGTTCACGTAAGAGAAAATGAACGTTTTGAATAAGGCCAGAAGAGAAAGTACATTGATACAAATCAGCAGACGACTGTGTTGTGGCAATGGTTATGCACCCCAAGAAAGCTTTATGGTTACTGTCAGTTGTTACCGTACAGAAAATTAGTTTTACAATCCGACCGACCATTGTGACTACCTATCCATGGCGATTAGTCAAAAACATCCACAATTTTATCCTATGAGTAATGTCGCTAGGCACAATCCTGCCTATGGCGACCAACTGGTCCAGGCAAACACCTCCTGTCAGTCCTTTGAGTGGTCGCCTTTGACAGGTTTGCCTGTACTTGGAACGATCAGCAGTAGCAATGGCAATGTGAATGTATCGCGATAGGTAATCTCAAAGGGGACCACGCTATGCACTGAAGAGTGTCTAGGTATATCCAGTCACGGGGAATATAGCTAAACCAGTTAAAAGTTGGCTGTTCCTCGATCAAAAGCACTTTATCCAAAGATTGATTCGAAGATGTTTGACCTCAAAAGGTAGAGACAGCAAAGTTCTAGTCCTGCGTCTTGGTTTATCCACCATGTTGGCATTGGGCAAGAAAAATTCATATCTCACATTAGAAAATTCTAACTGAGGAAATATCCAGTAACTTGATTGGATGTAGATGTCAAATTGGACACGTTCTTAGTATTTGGCAGAAGAGTGTTCTCCTCCTGTCAAAAAGGCGACTGCGAATAATGATCATATACACGTACTTAAAAAGAGAACACGGGAAATCATAATTGCCACATTCACAGCTCCACCCATTAAAACCACAATACACATAAAGTGATTTATAATTCTGACAATTGGCATGGACTTCAACAATAACCAGATGTTTAATTCAAAGTAAAAAACGAAAAGAAACGTAAGTAGAAGCCTTGGACTAACAATTTTTTCGCGTTCTTCGTCATCAGACCTAGTACAGAAATATACTTATGGACAACCAGGTTGTGTGACATTATGGTTACACCCCATTGAGTAAATAAAATTAAATTTAAACAGTTCTCGTGATAAGCGTCAGATGATCAGGTGATAGGCGGCACGTAAGGTTGATGGGCGGCAGCAAATTCCTCCCGTGTGGTTGTTTGCCATGGAAGTTGTAATGCTTGAATGAGCTTCTCTTAAGTGCAGAGATTAGGCTACATCAATCTTACGCTCACTGCTTCGGCACTAGCAAACAGTCGTGCTGCCAACTGATGGGTCAAGCGTCTCGGTACTTTATACAGGATTTCAAAGTCATTACTTTTGTCAGTATTGGGCCCAGTGGCAATCAGATGGTTGGTAATTGCACGTAGATTAGCTCTGTCTCTGCGCTTGGTGGGAGAATTCGCTAGGTGTTCCTTGATTCGAAGTTTTAACCGCCTGGTCCTGCGTCCAATATACCTACCTCCACAGGAGCAGGTTATTAGGTATATTACATTGGATTGGAGGCGATCCGACATTCTGTAGTTGAATCTAAGAACAACTAAAGCTACTTTCGTATAGATCGCATTGACTTCAGCTGCCAAGAAGGTATTCCTGCAGGATTGCATCAATCTTCTTGTACAGCTCTAAGCCACTTTGTTACCCGTAAAGTGAATCTTAGGGCAAAACTGTTTTTTCTAGGCCGTTTGCACTGTTGACTTCCGGTCTTTAGGCCTCACATGCGTGTCAATAAAACGTTCTAGATAACCATGCTCAAGTAGTCTCTACTTGACTCCTTCCAGTTCATCCGCAATCGTGTCTTCGCTACAGATCTTTCGCGCACGGTCGGTAAAATTAGAGATCAGTGTTCTTTCGCGGCTAAAGGGCACAAATCTCTGGAAATGTTTATACCGCCCCGTTCAATATGGCTTTCTATACCGTCCTTACTAGACTAATCCGTCAACTCTCCCCTTTAGATTTACATCCACAAAGTTCAGACGGTTGTTTCTTTCTTCTTCACCTGTACATTAGGCATTGGGATGCGTACTGTCGAAACGTTTGACGACGTTTTGCAAGTTGGTCGTCCGAGCCACTATGCATAAAATGTCGTCTACGTAACGTCGATAGAATCTAAATGTTGAAATGACCAGTTTCAGCAGTTCATTTTCCAGCATCTCCATGTAGACATCTGCCAATAGTGGCCAGAGAGGTGATCCCATTGCTACTTCCTCTTCCTGCCTGTATAATTCATTGTTAAACTGAAAATGGACGTTGTGTGTGCATCTGATCAAAAGCTGCTTGGGCTGTCCAGTTGGGATCTCCATGCTTATCTTTTGTCGGTCAATGAAGGAGCAAAGAAAATCTACTGTTTCTAATAGCGGAACGTTGGTAAACAGCACTACGACGTCCAGGGAGAGACAGCGATAGTCCATTATGTTTATGTTTCTGACACTTTCGACAAATTAGAACGGGTCACTCAGACGGTGACAGACGATGTTATTCCTCGCAGGATCCAGTATCAGTGCTAGCCATTTTGCAATGTTGTGACAAGGCGTGTTTCTCATACCTAGTATTAATCTCAAAGGTTTGTTCGGTTTGTGTATCTTTGGGAGGCTATATAGTCTTGGAATAATGGACTTAATGGGTCTGAACATTTCATACTTTTCTTTGGTCATATAGCCGCCAATCACTCTTGCCTTCAACAATTTGTTCAGTTGAGTTTCCGTGTTTATCGTTTTGCTATCTCTTGCTCACACGTTCTAAATCTGGAGGTGCCCGCGACAATCAGTTTCATCTTTTGCAGATGTTCTTTTCGATCCATGATCACGGTTCCTGACCTTT